AGACGCAACTGGCCAGGGGCTGGGCGCAGCGTGTGCGCTGCTGGGTCCCCGCAACAGGCCGGGGCTCGGGGGGTTCGGGCGCCAGAGCCGCAGCCGCCGAGCGCCATGGCCGCTTCCTCCCCCCGCGGCAGTGGGAGCTGCAGCAGCAGCTGCTCCGGAGTCCCGCTGGCCGGGGGGGGAGAACAGCCGCCGCCTGGACCCGCGGGTCGTCTCCCTCCAGTACCGCTCGACTGAGTCCTGCCTGTGCTTGGGGCCAGGCCGGACTCTCACTCACCCCGGCCCCGCGCTCCCCCTGTGTCTCCAGAGCCTCCCTCCAGCGCTTGTGGAGGGAGGAGGAATGGCGAGCCTGGGGAAGAGGCGGGGATTCGGGGAGGGAGCCAATGGGGGGGAGGAGGGGACGGAGTTGGGGGTGGGGGGGGGGTGCCAGCATTTCCCGGCTCCGGAGCATTTGCTTGTTTGTCCAGTGTCCCAACCTAACATTGGTCGGGATGCGGGACAAACAAGCAAATATCTGGACAGTCCTGATAAAATCAGGACGTCTGGTCACCCTACTCTAAGGGTAAAATCTACACTTAAATTTGCATGAGTATCACCCTTTGAACCTATCCTGCTCTTGATTACACACACTCCTGTTGCTCTGTTGACTTTACTGTTTTCAAGTTTATTCAGTGCAAGTAGGATTCCATGCTGGCCCAGGAGCCCATACTCACAGGCCCTAATGCGGAATTAGGGTCTTAGATCATAAACTCCTTAAGACAGAAAATAAAGTCAATTTGTTAATAGAACACCAGGCAAACCTGTAGCGTGTTATAATGTTGATACTTGGAGGGGAAAAAACTGCAGGAAAGAAGTCTTGTACAGGAGAACGGGCGGATCAATAGCAGCATGTGAACCGATGGTTCAAAAGTCAATGAGACCGTCGGAGGGTAAGCACTGAAGAGTAGTTAAATTGAGCAGTGACAGGAGAAGTTTTATTTTATATATTTTATTACTGAGGTACACATAGTTAAGGGCTTTACTGAGTCACATTTCAGACTAACAGTTAGCATTGTTTCTGGATCTATCCTAGTTCCCTCAGCATTCCTGATTATCTTTTGTTGTCATTCATTCTCACTGCAAATGGCCTATTTCAGAGTAGCAGCCGTGTTAATCTGTATCCGCAAAAAGAACAGGCCTATTGTTGCTCTGAGATAAACAGATTCCTTTTAATACTTTATTGTCTTCCACCATTTCTCCCCTCCTTTCTTTGTACACAACCCATAAGATTGGGTTCTATATTTCTTTAAACATTTTCTAAATCTTTCCTCTACCTTCCTTGTCAGCGAGGTGCACCACGTCCTTGTCCTATTCAATTCCTTTCTCTATTCTGAATTCACGTTTGAGCTCTTGACAAACTGTTGCTTCTTTCTGTGCAATCATTCCATACCACTGCAACCTTGCTTTTGCAATGTCCTTCTCTGTACTCTGTAACCACCACCTTCTCTAGCCACTTTTTTTTCCCTAAAATAATCTTCCCCATCTGCTGTTCTGACCATGTCACTCTGACTCACTTCACAAGCTTTCTCTCACCATCCATATCATTTTCAAGCGCCTTGTCCTTGACTAAGCTCTGCACAAGTTCATTTTGTTTCTTATTAGTAAGGATACAATTTTGTCATAGAGGTCATGGGATTCCATGACTTTAATGGACTCCGTGACTTCTTGAGCTTCAGACCTGCTGCAATGGCAGGGCTGGAGCAGCTGTCTGTCCCTGCCGGAGGAGCAGCAACCAGGGTTGGGTCACTGGCCAGCAGTCAGCCCCTAGGACTGGAGCAATGGCTGGGGCTGGACTGGGGCAGAAGCAGTGGCCAGGACTGGAGCAGGAGCTGGCAGGGGTGCTGGAACAATGTTTATAATGGGGATGCTGAGAGCCATAGAACCAAACTGTAAACCCTGTGTATGATGGAAACCATTTCAAGCCAGGGGGTGCGACAGCACATATGGGGGCTGGGTCAGCCACCAGGGCCAGAGAAGCTAACCTGAACTCCTCAAATACTCCCTCCCAGTACAACGGACCCCTCCAGTGCCCCCCCCCCCCCCCACTGTACCTCCCCAGTTCCCTCCTCTCCCCTCCCCTGGGAGTGTCCTCTGTTTGGGAATCTCTATATGGTAACCCTACGGGTGCAAGGCGGAAAAATGAGAATCGATTAAAAGACTGGAGGGGCAGAGTTTTCCCCCAAGATGTGCCCAGCTGGCACATGTGACACAGCCAGACGGAGGCACCCAACAAACTACTTTCAATGTGCTGGGTACATAATTTTTTTTTCTTATCAAAACAAGTTTTGCTTTTAAAACTGATTTCTTAAAGAAAACCAGTAGTATCTGCTGTTAGTGAATTGAACTGATTGTTTCTGTGGTCATCACACCCTTCAAGCTTTTAGTAGATTTTATCCTTTCACGCCTCGTTTTTATGCATAGATTGTAAGAAGAAAACAAGCATCCCTGCATTTTCAACTCCAGATTGGTTTCTTAACTTTGAATGAACTAGTTGAATAAACTGAAAGAAAGAAAGAATTCTCTCTGCACCTACAAGAGGCTACTGGTGTCAAAAGCTGGTTTAGCACTTCAACAAATGCTGGTTGCAGGTGCTTAGCCAGTGACTTTAATCAGCTCAGTGATTTGATAGGAAACTTACTACTTAATTTTTTAATTTAAATGATTTTAACAGATAATTTAAAATGACAATCTATGTTAAGGCCTAAATTTACTGTACAATTTTAAATAGGTTTATTTTTAAAAATAAAACTAAAATTTAATTTAAATCAGATTTAAATAAAACCAATTTTAAAAAATTCATTGTTTATTTTTTATCCACCCTGCTTAGGGCATTAGCCTAGGACTTGGGGAACCTGATTCCGCCACAGACTTCCTGTGTGACCTCAGGCAAGTCACTTAGCCTCTCTGTGCCTCAATTCCCCATCTGTTTTAAAAACAAAACAGGGATAATAGCATTTCCCTAGCACACAGGGGTGTTAAGAACCTGAGCACTTCACAGTCTATGGTAATGGAGGCCATTATATATAACTAAGATAGATTTCTTGCTAGGCTTCCCTGGTTCCCTATGCTTCTGCCAAGCTTCCTTTCTAGTCTCATGTCTGTTTCCTTCTTCCACTCTCACCTTCCTTGCTGTCCCTTAGGTGTGGTTGCTCTTGTAAGCCACCCAGGTTAAAGATCAGTGTATTTGATCTGAATTTTGTTTATTCCTTTCCAGGGCATGTAAATACTCCCATGATATCTTCACGGATGGGAACCGAAAAGTGCTGAAGACCCATGAAGTCAGTGGCCTAAACGAAAATGAGCTGCGGGTCCTGCTCCTCCAGAATGACCCTTTCCTCCTGCCTGATGTGAGTCATACTGATTTCTTAAGGAAAGGCTGTTTGCTAAATAGGGATGGAAGAGGTGAGAGATGATGCTAAACTAAAGCATGGAATTGGATGTCAGGGAACTTATTTTTTTTTCCCCTTTGCAACTGATTCACTGTATGACCTTGGCTAAATCATCTACTCTCTGACTTAGTTTCCACGCCTATATAAATTGGAGATAAGAATATCTACCATGAAGGGCTGTTGGGAAGCCTTGTCTACATTACTAGTGCATTGCCAGTATACTCTAGTGTAGACGGGCCGTATGCCAACAGCAGTTTGTTTTTGTTTGTCAGCATAGTAACACATCTTCTCTGAATGATCTTAACTATGCTGATAGAAGCCCTCCTCTGTTGGCATAGCTGTGTCTATGGAGGGGGTTTGGCAGCATAGTTACGTTGGCTGGAGGGGGGTGTTTTTTCACACCCACGGCTGACACAGCTGTGCCAACGAAACTTTGTAGTGTAGACCCAGGCTTAGTGATGTTTTGTAAAATACAGTTTTGCTGGAGGGTGCTTGGTGGCTACAAGCAGGCATGTCTTTGAACTATAGGTGAGCATTGAGGCTGATGGGCATGTTAGCTTCCCTTCGTTCAAGATAAATAGCAAAAACAATTAAACTCCTTTTATGGAGTAAGAGAGCTGGGGACAGTGGATGCCACCATTCAAGGGACATGCAAGTCTGATTAGAAGCTGAGCTATGTGGATGGCAGGGTTTCCCTTGGGAGCTGGTTGCAAACACGGGCTATACGTTCGAAGCAGACAAGACAAGAAAAAGCTAGGAGACAGCCAGGGAAGCCCTGGTAGGTGGCCCTGGAAGGAAGCGTCTTATGGGCAGCATGCTGGCTAGAAAGAGGCTTGGAATTGTGAGTAAGGAAACTGCCTGTTGGTTGGTTGGTCCTGCTATGTTCAGAGAACCAGGACTTTGGGTACATTCTTTGTAAATAAACAGGGTTGCACCCTATAAGACACATCTGACGCTCATCATCAATTTATCCTCCTAACGGAAACAATCTGCAAGCCCCAAATATCAGCTAACTGTTTGGGCCAAAAAGGCCAACAGTACTTTGAAATCCAAAGATGGTTCTGTAAAAATATTATTGCTTTCTGAAAGCTTACAGTAGGTTTAGATGAGCAAGGAAAGGTGGTGGCGGGGGGAGTTTGCTTACATCTTATTCAGCATTGAAGTTATGCAAGGAAATGATGACAGAAAAGTTTCTATTTTTAAAATTGTGTCCCTCCTAGAATAGAAAGGGTCCGTTTTAGGGCTGTCCAACACCCTGACAACAACAACAACAATCCCAAACACTTCCACCTCTTTAGTTCAAATTTTACAGTTAGCATTCAACCCATACAAATCAGATCATGGACACTTTTTCTGTGTAGCCATCTCCATAAATTCAGCCATCTTGAAAAACAAAAAGGGGTTGTGCTGAAGATGCAATGGACAGTGAATATGCACTCACTTGAGTTAGAAATATATTTGAATACTTTTAGCTCCTTGGAAAGAATATCAATATTTGCATACAAATCTCTTACTCTTGGGGGAATTCTGCCCCACTTCTGCAAAATTCTGCATTGCACAAGTTAATGTTGTGCGCGCAGAATTTCCTTTCCCCTACAGAAATGGGCTGTAGTGCTGCTAGCCGCCACGAGGGACTACTGGACTTGGCAGAGCCCAGCTTGCACGTAGAAGACGCTGCCAGGGGGAGGGAAAGGGAGTTAGAGGGTTCCCAGCATGCCCTGAGGGAAGCAGAGGGTGGCACGCAGGAAACTCCGTGCAAGCCTGGGACCGAGCATCAGGCTGTTTCTCCCTCCCCCAGAGCCCAGGGATTCAAAGGGGGGTGGGTGTCTGGGCTGGAGGAGCCACGGCTGGACTCTAGGGGGAAGGCCTATGGTTGGGCTCTGGGGATGAGGGGTTGTGGGTATCTGGCCCCCTGGCTGGCTCTGGGCAGGGGGGAGGAGACAGAGAAACAGGAACTGGGTTGTTATAGTAGTTCCTTTAATTCTCTACTTCTGGGGGAATTTTTGTGTGTCCGTATTGTTACAGACATACTTGCTGATAGGTATTTTGAAGTAAATTACCAAAATAATTGAAACTGGCATGATTATATAGTGTTATTTTCACAAATAAAATTTGCAGAATTTTAAAATATCTGTGTGCAGAATTGTTAATGTTTTGTTGCAGAATGCCCCCAGGAGTAATATCTGCTTTTACGTATCCTCCCCACCACAAAGGCTGGACCCAGCCTGATTCAGTGTCTTCAATCAATTCCCTGCCATTGCCAAGGCCTTGGGCATAGGGCCCACAGGAGTCAGTTTCCTGAGGACTGAAATGTTTTGGTCTAATTAAAGTCATTGGGCTTTCTGAGCCAAAATGTATATGTTGTGTGTGCTATGCAGCAGATCAGACTAGATGATCTAATGGTTCCTTCTGGCCTTGGAATCTATTAAACAAGCAGCAACCAGGACAGAAACATGAAGAGAAACCGCACTCCCACCTTTCAACAAACCCGTTTATGAATGAGTTAAGATACCAGCACCTGGTCTATTTACTATTAATGAGCTTGAAATCCTAGAATGATTGTGAGTCTCATGGATTTAATGTTCTTTATCCTTTTTTACCTTAATTTGTCCCCAGAGACTTGTTATGTGTGCTTTGTCATCTTTGTGAGAGATGTGCCGTTGTATTTCCTGGTTACTTTATCTCCTTGATGCTATGTTTGCATTTGCTGTGGAGACTAAGTCAGATGATTTGCCCTCAATTTTTCTCTTGTGGTAACTGGTGCCATGAATTTACTTTGTACAAATTTTGTGTAATCGCAACATGTGAAGGATAGACTGTAGGCCAGCATGATGTCTGGTTTCCCCTCTGCATACAGCCACAGCTTCTTCCGTATATAGTCATGACTTGCAGTCTCTTCAACAATTCCAGTCCTGTTCTATAGAGCAATACACACATCTGCCAAAACAAAAATCTAATCCAACCTTGTGTAAGGACATCCCTAGTTGGCACTGGAGTTCATTAGACTTTTCTTACTGGTCTGTCAATTTCTGCTGGAGGACACTAGCCCCCAGAATCCCTATGCTGTGATAGACTGGTTGATCCATTCTAAAATCTAGTTGTCAGCTGAAACCAGTTAGCAGGATTTTTTCCCTGAAACTTCTAAGGATACTTCTTTCAAAATGGGAGGCTTCAATAAATGTCGGTCGAAGCATGAATGTCTGTTAGCCTGGTGCTGGAGTCATTTTAAAGTACTGTGAAAGGTTGGTTGACATGTAAGAGAGGCAGTTTTGTGAGTAAATAAGGGGATGGAGTGAGATGGTTGAACTGCTAAAGAGGGCAAAAGTGAATCTGAGATGGGAAAGTGACAGAAACACAAAAATATGTTGCCCCTAGCAGCGGAAGGTGGGGAAGAGAGATCCTCCTATCAGGAGAGGAAAAACCAGTAGCAGTGAGCGTTCTATACAGAAAATACTGAGGGTCTTCTAGCTTTGTACTTAGGCAGTCAGATCAGACATGTATCACTCCAAGCCTAACAGCTTTCTCTATACCGAGCAGGTCTTGGTCAGGCTTCCAAAAATAATCCGTGAATCATTCCAGCTTTTCTGGTTTGTATATAGCCCACATCACTGAACATCTTCTGAAAGTGTATTAATAATTATAAGAGTTAGATAATTTATTATAGTGCTCTTCATCTGTAGATCTCGGAGCGCTTTACAAAGGAGTACAAGTATCATTACCCACACTTTACAGATGGAGAAACTGGGGCACCGAGAGGGGAAGTGACTTGCCCAATGTCACCCAGCAGGCCAGTGGCAGTGCTGGAATGTCTCTTGGGTCCCAGTCCAGTGCTCTATCCATCAGGCCAGTGTTGTGCAAATTAGAGGGTCTGATGCCCCTTGGGGGGCCACAAGAGGTTCTCTGGGGAGAGTGAAGAAACTGGGATCCCACAGGACCCACTGCTGTAATAGCAGGAGCGGGATACAAATAGAGTGGGTATTGCGGGTGGGATGGGAGCGGGATTAAAAAAATAGTCCTCCTGCGCCGCAAACAGCACGTATGCCCTGGCCAGCAGCCGCTGCTCTTCGTCCTGCCAGCTCTGAAGATAGCTCTGCTGCTAGCAGCAGTGCAGAAGTAAGAGATTACTTCAGATTACAAGAAATGGAGGGGGGTGCAACAGTGGTTTGAGCATTGGCCTGCTAAACCCAGGGTTGTGAGTTCAATCCTTGAGGGGGCCACTTGGGGATCTGGGGCAAAATCAGTACTTGGTCCTGCTAGTGAAGGCAGGGGGCTGGACTCGATGACCTTTCAAGGTCCCTTCCAGTTCTAGGAGATGGGATATCTCCAAATTCCATGAATGGTAAAGGGGGAGGGTGCCTGGAAAAGTTTGCACACCACTGCATTAGGCCCCTCTGCCGTTAAGCAAAAAGAATGGCATCTGTCGCATGTTTTCTGTTTTTTTGTTTTTGTTTTGTTTTGGTTTTTTTTTCCCCTCTTCCTCTTTCAGGATAAATTGTGTGGGGATTTTTTTCTGCAATCTCTGTACACAGAGGCAGTGTTGTAGAAATGTCTTGTTGTTGGAGCAGAAGATGGTTCCAAAATCCCGTGGGATTTTATTGTTTAGCCTTGGAGTGGTCTCCAAGAAAACTTTGTCTCCTGCACAGGCTAGAACATAAGGATGGCCATAGTGGGTCAAACCAATGGTCCATCTAGCCCAGAATCCTGTCTTCTGATAGTGGCCAGTGCCAGGTGCTTCAGAGAGAATGAACAGAACAAGTAATTATCAAGTGATCCCACTGCTAGCTTCACCTTTAGAGTGGAAATTTCCATTCTGCCAGAGGAGCAGAGCTTTCAGCCGTGGCCGTGGGTATCCTGGCCCCAAGTCATTGAGTGCCCCCTCTGTTCAGTGAGCAGACAGAAAACAAGGATAATGCATCTCAAAATGTACTCTTAGTTTATTTTGGCAATGTTAGTTTTCTCTCTAATTATTTGATGTACTATTTAACTCTTTACAGCAGTGTTTCCCAAACTTGGGACGCCGCTTGTGTAGGGAAAGCCCCTGGCAGGCCGGGCCGGTTTGTTTACCTGCCGTGTCCGCAGGTCCGGCCGATCGCAGCTCCCACTGGACACGGTTTGCTGCTCCAGGCCAATGGGAGCCGCTGGAAGCGGTGCGAACCGAAGGACATACTGGCTGCCGCTTCCAGCAGCTCCCATTGGCCTGGAGCAGCGAACTGCGTCCAGTGGGAGCTGCGATCGGCCAGACCTGCGGACGCGGCAGGTAAACAAACCGGCCCGGCCTGCCAGGGGCTTTCCCTACACAAGCAGCGTCCCAAGTTTGGGAAATGCTGCTTTACAGGAACATACTCTAGTCATACTTGGCATTTTCTAGCACTTTTCCCATCCAATGATCTTGATACTAGATGTTGGTAAGAGACCGAATAGCGTTCTGTGTTAAGTAGGGAGACAACATCATATGTGTATGACTTGTAAGGTGTGGCTCATTTACTTCTCAGTCCAACGTAAGAAAGACCTAGAAAAAGCGTAGAACAAGCCTGTTAAAAATACAGTCATCTGAGCAAAAAGGACACTTGGCCTTTGCAGATTAGAATTTCATATTTTTAATTAGCGTAACATTGAGGAGCCTTAATCATGGATCACAGGACTCCATTCTGCTAGGCGCTGCACAAACAGAAAAAAAGACAGACCCTGCCTCAGGAAATGATACTCTTATGCAACATATTGTAAGCTAAGTGAGGTAGAGGCCATCTTCTGTTCTGTGTTTGCACAGCATCTAACACAACGGGGGCCTGGTCCGTGACTGGGGCTTCTAGGCCCTACTGCAACACAAATAATAAACAACATATAAAAAACAATTTGGTGTGGCCAAAAGTGCCATTGTTAGAAAGGTTGACATGCCCTCTGGAAACCTCACATGACTTTGAAATCCATGAAAATTCTTTAAAATGTCTGTTCTCGGTGACCTTCGACTCCAGAAATATGCCTAAGTTACAAAATCAAATTGATTATGGGTTTTGTTTTATTCCCAACTTTTCCATTACAGAATCCATATGCAGGTTGGGTTAAGAAAAGCCTAATGACTGGAAGGGGGGAAAAAAAGTCTCTCAGACATTTCTCCTTCCTCCCTCCCCAGGTATGCCAATTCTATAACAAAGGTAGAGGACCGCATGGGACTTGCAGCCAGCAAGACAATTGCAACAAACTTCATGTTTGCCGACATTTCCTCCGAGGAGAGTGTAGGTTTTCCAAGTGCAACAGATCCCACAGGATTATGGACAACAATGTGCTGAAGTTGCTGCTAGCAGAAGGATTAAATATTTGTGTCGCAAAGAACATCCAGGTTATCTGTGATCACAAGCATATCAAGTTCAGCGAGGATGTGGGCCGGAGGAGAAGTAAGTGTTAACAAACAAGTGTAAATTGTAGCATGAATGATGCTTCCTCCTCCTCCTCCCTTGGATGTGTTGGAGGCTATTCTTGACCTACATCTCTGTGGGATTTCACCATTCTTTTCTGCTTTCAGTGCCTCCCCTACACGTTAGACCTACACCAGGTGGAGATAAAAAGAGCGCAAATGCTGGGAATCCAGAAGAAATTGAACCTAAGCCTACTTCCATTACACCAGCCTCTACATCACATGAGCCTACCCCACCAGGTAAAACTATATACGTGCCACTTAGTTTGTATGTTGAACCATCTTTTCTGAATTTCCATTTCCTTAGTTCTTGAGCGTAGGCTGGGTATTGACATTCACTCCCTCCTCTGCATTCAATAGTTCTGCTCACAAGAATGGATCAGACAGTGGCTAGACCCTATCACAGACCATGCATCGGAGAGCACTTCTAGGCAATATGCATCAGTATCTTTTTATACACATAATAGATCCCTGGCCAGTGATTGTTGTACAGGAAGCTTCTACTGAGAGCTAGTAATAGAATTTCCAGTTCACTAGCTGGAATGAGCGTGTTCATTTGTAAACATTACTAATAATAGATTATATAAGTAGTAGGATGGTGGTGGGGAAAAATACAGTTTATTTGCATTGAACATTAAGGCCAAGTCATGAGTTCATTAAACCAGTATGATTCCATTGAAGTCAACCAGGGAGGATCCAGTCTAGTGGCTGCTTTACATTGTGTTATGATGCGGGTCACGGTGGGGTGGTGGATTGCTAGAGCGACACCTGGAGCTGAGAAGTGATTGGAGCGAAGATAACTACTTTTTATCTTTTTGGTCTGTTAACTACGCGGAGCTAGTAGAGGCTATTGCAGAGTCCTGCTCTCCTTTCCCACCTTTTTTCCTCACCCTTGAGGCTGAAGACTTCTTTGTTTTTAATTTTCATTATAGCCCATCTGTTGGTGGTTTGGCAGCTTGTTAGTATGTCAGTTAAATCATCCCACATTGTGGTTTACTGTTGTGGTTCTCTCTTCCCCCCCATCTCTTGTCCCCAACAAGTAGAGTATAAAATATAGTTATACATCTTTGTTAGCTGAGAGGTTGTCTTGAAGCCCACTCTGGGATATGAATAATGTAGTGAGAGAGAGAGAGAGAGAGAGAGAGAGCCTGGAGCACGGGACCTGGTGCAAGACGTGCAGCCTGAACAGGCAGCAAAGTCAGGCCATGTATCAAAGCAGATGCTTACGAGTTCACTGTCCAGTACTTGGCAATGGTATGGCTAGCGTTGCTAAAGCACCGGCACTCCTAAGAAGTACTAGACATTGGGTATTCATAAGTAACTTGTTTGTGTCAATGTATAAAAGAGAAATCATAGGAGGGGCACTTTTGCCCAACCTAGGGGACAGCAGAGACTCTTGCTGCTGACTGACCTGGTACCATTGTCATGGGCATACGTGTGTTCAGGTACCTGTAACTCCTATAGAGAACTAGGACTGTCATTCATGGACAATAAACGTGGCACCCCGATACAAACAAGTTACGTAGTAGACTTCTGACGTGATTTGTTATCAGCTTGCACCTCGTACCTGTTGGTTTGAACAAAACATCTCCATCCATTATCCCATCATCCTTATTTTAGGAGGGTCCGATGAGTCCCTCTACCATCTTCAAGGAGTGTGTTTATGCCGTAACTCTGTGTTGAGGTAGGCCTGTGTTAATCTTCTGGAATGTGTTTGCATGAATACCCAGTGTCTAGTACTACTTAGGAGTGCCTGTGGTTTAGCAACACTAGCCATACTATTGTAAAGTTCATGTAATGGACAGTGAACTCGTAAACATCTGCTTTGATATATGACCTGACTTTGCTGACTATGGTTCAGGCCTCAGGTCTTACACCAGGCCCCGTGTTCCAGGTGCACGCATGCGCGCTCTCTCTCTCTCCTACAAATAGTAACTACTACTACGAAGCCTCCCTTCCAGGTTCCTGAAGTTAATGCCAGTGGTGTCAGTTAGTGCTGGGTGGGGCAGCCCTTACTTGCACCAGGCCCAGGCTCTGAATCAGGAAGCTGCAACCAGCTCCTTGCTGCCTCTCCGACAGAACCGAGAATCAAGACCGTCTATTTTTTTCTGTTGCAGGGTGTTTTGTTGTTTGGCATGAGGAGATACGTTTGATGTGATCTAGACTGTTCTTTCCCACAGGTGTCAAAGCTGTTCCTTCTATTAATGCTTCTGGGACCAATGAAATTAAAAAATGTGATGAGATATGCCTGTACTATATCTGGAGGTACTGCAAACATAAAGGTAAGTCTGACTAATGGTGTTATCCATTGAATGTCAACAGGAACTGCCCTGTGCAGACTTCATATCTCTACTAGTAACGGGATATGGAAACTTTCATATCTGGATCACTGGCTTAATGTTGGTGGTAATGATTCTCCATCCCATATCTAACGCCTTCAAGGTGAGTTGGTCTAAAACATGGACTAAAAGCTGTCGCAATTGTGAAGAGATTCAGAGGAAAAGCCAAAGGCTGAATAGACAAACGCTGATGCGCCCTCTGTCTTAGAGGTGGGCTCTCCCAATCAGGGGTGAGTCATGCTGGTGGGCCTAGGTGGGGGAAGCTTGCACTGTCATTGCTTGCATGTTTCTGTGGCTAGAGTAAGTCAGTCTCCAGGGGTGCTAAACCTAATACTTTTGGTGAGTTAATTTTTTTAAAAGATAAAAATCGGAGAAAGATGCTGTTGTCAGACTTGAAGCATAAGTCCTTGCAGATCAGTACCAGGGTCTGATTACAGCCATGTTCATTTCCCATTAAGCCCTTTACCATATGGCCTGAAGTAGCACAACACCTAGTTCCTTTTATATGAACCAGCTGAGTTATGTCAAGCTGCTTCTGTTACTGATGTTGCTGATTAAAGTTGTATAATACTGAAGTAAGTTGCCTGGGAACTTATGTTTTTGTTTGTGCCAGACTCGTACTCCAGGAAAGATGTGAAAGATGGTTCTACTAAGGCTCTTTGTCTAGTATGCAGAGTTAGTCAGACAGCCCTCTCCATGTCTTGGTAATAGGATTCCAGCATTTGTTTTTAAAATATTATGCCTTTAAAGGATTGACCCCTTCTTAGCTTTCCAACATACAGCATCGTGTCCTAGAAATGAGCTCTGTCCAAGAACGACTAGCCATGACTCACTCTGGAGTGTCTCAAGGCCAATGCAAACGCTGTCTACAGGAAGGAACTTGACTTTCACGCTGCCTCTGTGAGATTGAGGAGTGAGATTGAATTTAGTGGTTTGATGTAAATGCAGAGGAGACAGAGCTGAATGGGGAGTTCTCCTTGCTCGGGCTCAGATTCTGGGCATAAAGAGATGGGCATAATGGCTCTTGGGGGCAGGGAACATCTTTTTCTTCTGTGTTTGTACAGCGCCTACCACAGAAGGGGCCTAGTCCATGACTGGGACTCCTAGGGACTACAGTGATACAAATAATAAACCTTTTCCCCACTCCTGCTCTGGCTGCATAATGGACGTGGCAGTATTGCCCGTCCTGCACTCAGGGACGCATATGGACTTCTCTTTCCTTACTCCACTGAGGGCACATGGTGGCCCAAAGAGAGCAGGGAAGAGGCAAGGCCTATGGCTCCATCCAGCCCCAACACTTTTGCCTGCCGAGCAAGCGGACTGCCTATGAATTAGTACTCTGCGCTCTTGCTGGTGCTTTCCCTTGGGTGTTGCAGTTCATACTGCCCTGTGCTTTGGGCTATGCCTAAAAGGCACAGTCAAGCCTTCAGTGTGTTCACTTTTCTGGTCCTGAAACTCTTTTTAAGAAACTGAGGGAGAAACAAAACCAAAAATAGCACCAGGGTTTCCCTGCTGTAACCTGCGTGCTTAACCTTGTGAGAGAAACTGTGGTTACTCCCCTTGCGTGTTTGGGGCTGAGCTGATAAATGTGGAGTCATACCTACGTGACACAGTGATAAACAACACTGCTGTCACACATGCCAGTGTCAGTTGTCAGGGCAATATCTAAGCAAAGAAAGGTGTGTGGACTCAGACTTAAAATCAATAGTGCAAAGAGCTTACGCTGCTTTGCTAGTTAGAAAGGGCATGTTTCAACTCTTCCTTCAGTTTTACTCTAATCTAGCTCAGAGTTCAGTGGACTAACTTTTGATTTACCCCAGTGTATAGGGAAAGCAGAATCAAATGGAAGGGGAGAAGGCCAAAGAGATCATAATAAAAATGCATTGCAGGGTTTGCTGCTTATTCCTGCTCCTCTCTTGGTTAATTTCAGTGTCCTGCTATCAGTCTGCTCTAAGGTTATGTGAGCTCCTTAGCATGTTTGCTCTCTTTGCAGATGACTGCAGGATGATTCATTATCATCTGCCTTATCGATGGCAGAGGTTTGATGGAGTCAATTGGCTTGATATTCCCAGAATGGAGGTAGTCGAAAAGGCCTATTGTGACCCCAAAAACGACAGGTATAATAATGCTTAAAACCTCTTTGCTAAGCTCTGTAGAGGAGTTACATAGCTTTGGGGTAGCACAAGGATAGTCCATCTCTCAGTTTCTGGTTAACTCTTTTCCTCAAGAGAATTTAGGGCATGAATGCTTGATGCCCATAGATAAGACTTTTCTCCTGAAAGCTGTGTGTTGACCTCTTAAGCTTTTGCTAGAGACTTCTCAGTAACATAAATGGTTGCTGAACAGGATCTCTGAGAATATACAGAGAGACTGTCTGAGTGTGCATAGGAAAAGAGAGAGAAGGTAGACAGTAGATAGCTTCATGAAAATGTTTACCTGCTCTTGTGGTAAGTGGAATAACCCGTAGAGGAGTTCTGCCTTGCTATTGAGATTATATAGGCTAATGAAACATGTAGCATTTGGTGCACAGACTGGGTGTCTAATAACATAGAGTTCATATTGAAGTTATTACCAAGCTTCTCCTGGACCAGGGGTTCCCAAACTTGGTTTGCAGCTTGTTCCGGGTAAGCCCCTGGCGGGCCACGAGATGCTTTGTTTACCTGAGCGTCCGCAGGTATGGCCACTCGCAGCTCCCAATGGCCGTGGTTTGCTGTTCCCGGCCAATGGAAGCTGTGGGAAGTGGTGGCCTACTCAGGTAAAGAAAGCATCTTGCGGCCCACCAGGGGCTTACCCTGAACAAGCCGCGAACCAAGTTTGGGAACCCCTGTCCTAGACTGTTTTTATGGCTGTCAGTCCTCTATACAGCCATTATTTGGAACTTGCCTGGAGGAATCTTTTATGAAGTTCTCCATTGTGAAGGATGGTAGATCTTATTCATGGATAAGATAGTCATAGATATAAGACGCAATAGGAGTGTTCTCTAGATTCACCCATTATCCTATTCATTCCTTCTCTGCAAGCTCCACTTTCGACTGACACATCACTCTGATTATGGAGCACTGGTGCTCTCTGAAGCTCAGGAGTGGCCAGATGTGATTGCTTGAGAGTTCTGGCCATAGCCTATCCAGGAACAAAGGATTTCTGTTCTGTTTTTATAATGCCTGTTCTCAGGCAGCCCGGAACAGGAGGCTTTTATCCATCTTTGTCAGGCAAAGCTCACTTCGAGGCACTTTGCCAGAGCCAGCCCAGGCTTATTTTAAGTCAAATTCCAAAGCGTCTCTGAAGGATTAAAACCAGGCATGTCCAAGTGCAGCTTGAGGGACAGATGCAGCCTACAGAGTCCTCAAATGTGGCCATTCCCTCCATAACTGCAGCATGAGAAGAATGCTGATCAACTGCTGCTGATCAACTGCAGGTTTTTATTGCTGGTGAACTCCAATGCTACACAATTTATACTCTTCTGGCAAGGAGGATACAGACACAAGCAAATACTAGCATCATGTGCATTTGTGGTTCATTACAAAAAACATGTATCAATAAATTAGGTGTAGCCCCAGACTTTCTAGAAAGTCAGCAGTGATGCCCCTAGCATCACGTAGTTTGCATGCTCTGTGTTAGAGATATAGACAGTGTTAGCTCTTTTTGCGGGGAGTCTAGTCACAAGGATCTGAAGCTCCTGAATCAGAGCATGCCTGCATGGGGCAATTTTCTGCCTGCCTTTCTTAAGCAACCTTAACTAGAGGCAGTGCTACTAGTTCCACCTATAATGTAGAAATTTGGAAGCCCTTTCAACTGGTGATCAAAGAGGATAAGTATGCACAGTTAGCACTGGTGTAACTCTCTGAATTTCTCTCTCTAGCGTAGCAGATCAGAACATCAATTTCAGGTCAATTACCTCCTCTTCTGCTTTGCTTCGACGCCTCTCCACACCATCATCGGTTACAAAACCCTCCAAATTCATAATGACAACAAAATGGATTTGGTATTGGAAAAATGATCTAGGCCAGTGGATTGAATATGGGAAACAGGTGAGCACCTTGTAACATCCATCCCCTCTTAGCCACTTCTGGAGGGATGTCACAAATACAGTCTCCTCTGCTATATAGTAACCTGTAGATATTGTTTATTTGCTTTTGATTTATAAAACAATGGGTCCCGTCCCATGGCTTAGTTAGTAATTGATAAAGCCAGATTGACTGTGGGTGGGTATTTATTTCTGGCAAAGCAAGCACTATAAGCTTTTATAGATGTTCCCTCAAAAAGGCATCTGATAAAATCTTGTACCAATTTCTCTACCCTTTCCCAAAATAACATGAGAAAAGCTGAGACTTGCATCATATCCAAGAGGCTAAGAGATCTAAGCGTTAGCAGACTTAGTGATGGGGAATCATATACAAGATTTATGCGGCATTCATGAAGAATGCCCTTCCAGTAGCATGCTTTTTCCCTTTTTATGTATTATACAGAAGAAAACTATGTAAAGAGAACATTGTTAAGGTTGCAAAGTCAAGCACTCCAAAATTAAAAGAGGCCAGAATGAAAGTTGCATGTACAATCGTAATTTGGCCCTCTTGTACGTATGAACTGATACAGTCTTTAACAACATGACCACATACTATTTTTCCCATAGGACTTCAGCCTCGGAGAGCGCTCAGGATGGATGGTGGTCAATGAAGGGGTAGTTATTCAATATTTATTTATATTATTTTTATTCAATCTGTGGGGTGAGGTTTTATTTACTGTACACTGTCCAAACCTGGCACTTAATAAAGAATTCTAAATTTTCTCTGTGGATTTTCTGTGGCTCTCATGACTATAGTATGTGAATGCTTCATAACATTAATGAATTAATCTTCACAAGACCCCTGTGAGATGAAGGGATATTATCCCCATTTTACAGATGGGGAGCTGAGGGACAGAGAGCTTAAAACTAAAATTGTCAAGTGTCCACTGATCTTTATATTGGCATTTCCTAATTTATTTTAATATATGGCTTTGTAACCTTAACGTTCTCTGTATGTAATTTCCTATTTTAAAAAAAAAAGGCAAATTGACAAAAGAAAAATTTCTCATATGAAACCATATTGAGCCTGTCATAGGGTCTCTACACCTCATGCTGGTTCATCAGCCAAAGGATTAACAAAGCAACTGCCTGCTTAGCCAGAGATGATTGGCAGCCCCAAAGCAGCTAGATAAAAGGGCTGCAGGGGAAGTGGGTGGGGCAGCTGCAAGAGAGATGATCCCTCCAGCAGACTGGTGAGAAGCTGCCAGACAAACCAATGCTCCAAAGAGCGATAAACAGGGCAGGAGGCTGGCAAGATTACAAAGGTAGGAAGTGGCTGAGAGAACAGCATGGGACTGAGAAGGATTGGTTCTCGCTGTTCCAAACCAGGTCCCTGAGCTGGAACCCAGTGGAGTGAGCTGGTTTAGGTTCCGCTACCTACCTCGGCCAGGGATTTTTAGAGAAGAAATTCCCCAACCCAGGAGACCTAGGGCTGATTAGCCCCTACTGGAGCCATGGAACTTCTGCTGTCCCATTATCCTAATGGGGGAAAAGACTATTGAGGACGTGGCCAGGAGGGATTGGGTCTTAATAAGGACTTGACAAATGCAGAGTTGGGTTTGGCAGCATAAGGGGGAGGGAGCCAAGTGGGTGTAGTTCCCCCTGCCACAAGGGGATGCCGACACACCCCCATATTACAGACTACAACAGGGTTGGACCAGCACAGACATCTACCACTTGAGCTAATGAAGCAATTGGCAGCAGTAGTAGGCTGTTAGCCTTATAAATGGACCACCCTATAGAAAGTGATGAAAGATCTTCTTTGCCAACAGATTACACGTGCATTTTCTAGACAGCAGAGGAACATTGGGATTTGGGAGTCCTGAGTTCTGTTCCAGATTGTGGAAAGGAGTGTATCCTAGTGATTTTAGACTCTCTTGCCTTGTCACCCTCAGCCCATCCCCTAGTATATTTCCCACACCTGTCCCCACCCCCTCTGCTCTTCACAGCCTGTTCCTGCTTCCCTTTTGCATGTGATTCAGGCTGCTTCCTCTTCCTCCATCCTACCTGGGCACCAGCAGTGGAGCATTCAGAGTGCAGGAGAAAGTTGCTCTCATTCAAATGCCTGACACCAAAGTTGACCCTGACATCTGGGAGGAAGGTTTGCAGGAAAACCCTTTGAGCCCCTGTCGTCCTCAGTTGGAGCATGCTCTGTTCAGACAGAATGTTTGAAGAAATTTAGATGCCAAACTCGTTACAAACTTCTACGGCGCATGTGAGCTTGTAAAAATGGCAGTATTCAGAAGCTTATAAACTTGGCCAAATTCAGGTGGATTGTCACAAGGACAACCTCTCTGATCCAGGGCAGTCCCCCACCCTGCCAAATTTCAAGTCTCTGCTCCCAAAGAATGAGGGCTGTAGTGCATCTCAACAAAATGATTTTAAGAGTTTATTAATAATGGCAAAATGTGTTTTTTCCCCCATCCTAATTAATTTTCCAGAATGGCTGAGCTGTTTTTGTTAAACCTTGAATAGTTCAGCCTCCGTTAGACTGCTAGCATGGGAAAGTTCAGCCCGAACAGTTAGTTATAAGCAACTGGAAAAAAAGGTCTATAATGGAGTGTTCAAGCAACCTAAACTATGGTGTCCCAGCCAGCTCCATCTATCATAAAGAGATCTCTGCACAAGCAGCTATAGCCTGGCACAGGAATAGAAATGTTCTCATAGTTTGTTCCCAGCCAGTAGCAGCTTGAACTCCACCAGGTAGCTTGTAGGGGCCCAGTATCACTTCCAGAGCACATTTCCCATTTGAAGTCAATGGGAGCTGCAGGTTAGAGGACAGGTGGGGCTTTTGGAACTTCGGATGGCACGGAAAACAATTGGGGTCTGTGGGATGCTAGTGATCAATGGTGAAATGGTTCAGTTTAACATCGGACGTGGCATCATTACATTTCAAAGATAATGCCCCATGGAGATGAATGTGGCATTTCTCATGTCCAGAACTATTCCAGGTGGGTTTCTTCGTTGTATAGATTTTTTGGAGGGGTGCGGTAGGGTGATGACATCCTTTCTTATGCAGCACTTTTGAGATCTATGAACGGTAAGCACTGTAAGTGCTAAGTATTACTATCCGGTTATTTATTTTTCCTCAGTTTCATTCTCCCACAATCAACTCTGTAATTTCCTCTATGCCCGGAGCAAACTTCCTGACCGTGTGCTTCCTTCAAAGTCGCTTCCTCAGTTAGTTTTCCTAAGTTGACCTCCACTCCTCCCACTATATTTTCCCACTCTCAATCCTGTGTTATACCTGATATAGATGTGGCCAGGGAGCTGTCACTTTATTTACCTGTGTAGGCCCAGGCCCACTAATGACATATAAGCAATACAGTTTTTTTTACTAGCAGAGGTCAGAATCATGGCTCATGTTTATCAATGAATGAAAAAGGCAATTGTGCAATCTTTTGTCCTTCCAGATGGGTTTAACCATTATTTTTTTCCCCACATTTCCATTCTATAGGATGGACTACAGGGAGCTTCTGCGCTAGCTTCTGATGATTTGGAGAATTTATTTCTGGCGAATCCAAATGACCTCCTACAATTTCAGGCTGGTGCCCAACAATACGAGATCAATTTTAAAGGTACTGTTCCCCTTTCATTTCAATTGAACACAATGCATTATAGTTTATAGTTAGTCTGGTGGCTTTGATATGCTACGTTGCAGTACTTTTCTGGGAGAAGTGTACAGAGAGAGACTGCTGCAAATAGGGCTAGCTGGATAGTTTTACGGCGAAGGGAAAATAGTCCACATATGCCGGGTGGAATATTGTAAGGGGAGAAGGTGTAAATAAGTATGTGGGCAAATTAATGACAGAACAAGGAACAAATTAGACAAAGAGGGCAGGGTTAGGCGCATGAGGCGGCAGGGCGGGGGGGAAGAGATTTTAAAGACAGCTTTTCCCTTTAGAGTAAACATGTGGAAGGCCTCATCTAACCAAAAAAGAAATGATACTTGACCAGCCGGTGGTTGGTTTTTTTGCTATGATTATTACTTATGATTTTGTTTAAGATGGCTCTGTTTGCCTGAGAGCATCATGTGCAGCTTTTGCTTCTGCCAGATCCTGCAGCCTTAATTCTGAGCTTCTGACAAGTCTACGATGGGAATACTTGTAACCCATCACACATCTGTAGTTCTGTCTGGGGATTTCCATGGTTTACAGTTATTTCTGAATTCTCACAACATTCCTGTGGCTTATTATTATAATGCCCATTTTGCAGAAGGATTACAGAGGGTGCACAGAAAGTCTGTCCACCTCTTTCAGCGCTCCACTACAGAGTTGTTGACTTCACTGCAGCCTTAAATGGGAGCAGAAGACAGGAGATGAGGGAGTGAGCCCTTATTTAAATACATAGTAAAGCCACGAATTGTCTGGTAGATTTGAACATTTTCCATGCTATGAAGAAAGAGCGTAAGTGAGATGGAAGGAGCAAGTGATTTCTGGAAAGATAGGTAAGCTCAAGTAAGAGTCATAGGGAAGGGACAGAGAAGATTGAAACAAAGTAGTAGGGCTGCAGAGATAGTGGTTGCTAAACAGACAAAAAGTTCAACTGCCACATTCCATCAACAAATGATTGTTTTTCCTCTGGGTGGGTGGGGTGTGTGTGTGTGTGTGTGTGTGTGTGTGTGTGTGTGTGTGTGTGTAGAAA